CCTAAAGCCCTAAACCCTACAACTTCCAAAGGATGGCCAGGCCTGCGTTAAAGCAGCTTCGGATGGCTGTCGATGGCTCGGGGCCGCGGGTACCGAGCTCCAGCCTGTGAGCTTACTGGGTATTATATAGTATACTATAGTATATTAGAATATATGATAGCATACTATAGTATTATATTATATTACATATTAAACTACATTATGGTATATTATAAATAATATATTCGAATAATAGTATACTGAAATATATTTTATAGTATATTAGAATGTATTACGGTATATTATATTTTATCAGCCTCAGCACAGGCTACTCAGGCTGGTCCACAGTATGCAGAGGGTACGTTTCAGAATCGGAGAGCATGACGATTGAGGCTTGAAGGCTCAGGGCTCTTGGCTTGAAAGTGCCCAGTAAAGGGAGCAGTCAGGCGTTTCGGACCAAAAAACACTCGTCGCATGGTTTATTGTCCTGCGATTCGTGCGATCATGTTGTTTTCCCCCAGCTTTAGCATCATCTCCATGGCTTCCAGGGGCCCAAAAATGTGCGATGTGTTAAACAACTTCTCACTTGCTTGGGTTCTTGAATTGATCTCCATGTTTTTTTGAAAAAGGTAGCTGCGTGCGTACTGCCACAACGCAGTGTCTTGGCCAGCATGGATGCTCATGGAAACCGTATGAACTGCCAACACGTGCCTATTATCTTGGCCAGTACGGATACTCATGGAAACCATGTGTTCTACTAACACGAGTGCTATTATCGTGGCTAGCATGGATGCTCATGGAAAGCATACGCCCCTGGAAACCGCATGCTCTGGTAACACAAACCTTAGTCCTTTTGAATCTAAATTTTTGATAGCAACAAAAACATCCAAAACGCCGGACGGTACTCAACGAGTTAACAAAGACTAGAGCCACCCAACCTTGCATGTACGCATGTCTTCAACAGCCTTGCGTCCTGACATCTCCCACACATCATTCCTTCAAATAATAGTAACAGTAACAACAGAGACAGCACATCTAACTGCAATAGTCAACAGTAGCAAGAGTAATTAATCGAAATTGAAATGCTAGTGGATGTGGTAGTTGTAGTTGTCGTTGTAGTTGCAGTAATAGTAGTAGTAGTAGTAGTAGTAGAGGCAGCAGTGCTACTGGTACAAGTAATAGAATCCTCTTCACCTGGGCCGAGGCACAGGACGATTCGGGCCAGACGTAGCCAGGCCTCCGCGACCCGACTCTCCCGCCGGGAGCCTGGTGCCGGGTTGCCGAGGCTTCCGGAGGGCTTTGCGGGTATTACTTACTGGGGGTTACTGTTGTAGGAAATAAAGCAAGAATATAGTTTACTCCCTCATTCCCTACGAACCACCAGTAAGATTAGGGATTCAGCGTCTTGCAGATACATGAGGTTTAAGCACACGGGCATCACAACATCCCTAGTTGTTTTACTAGGGCACTTCATATTTTGCTTTCGTCTCGAAGGCTGCGGCTTGTGCCGCTAGGGCGTTCTGGGTTGGGATCCGGGCTCATCGTTGCGGAGTTCGGGCATCCAAACACCCGAATCCCTCCAAACACAGAACACGCCTCCGTGGGCATATGGTTGGGGGGTGGTGCTGGGTTCATTGTGTTCAGTAAAGGAGAAGGCGTAGCACCAAGGGGCTGCGATTCAAGCAATGCAGCTTGGTGTTTTCCAGTTCAGTGTGTTAGGCTTCGCTGTGTTCCGATGGACTTCGAATTTGGCTGGCTGGTTTCCTTTGCAAGATTGAAGCCAGACCGTTCAAATGGAGTCTCGATAAGATGTGATACGATCACAGTGGCCCAGTGAACGCATGCCTATCCAACAGCAGGGACTAGTAAGTACGCCCTCGAACTGCTTCTCTAAATTCTGAATGTTAGAATGTCACAACATCAAGCAAGCGAGCTAAATCACTGCAAAATGTACTGCCTTGTTCGTCACCCTGCCGCTCTTGGCGATGCCTCGGAAACTGTGGAACGCTTCTCGCAAACAAATCAACCGCTTCTGGGGTTTGGTGATGCTTGAAGCTGGCTGCTGCAGCGCGCGTTTCACATGAACTTCTGCGCTGCTGGCCTAGATCCCAAGCGTATAGAGTTGCTCGGCATCTGCACGCCTTTCAAACTTTCGCCAAGCAAGGAAGCCACAGCATACCCAGTGGCCCAGCAAAAGGCGAGCTGTCTCCCGGCCGCGCAGGCGAAAAGTCTAGCTCCACCTCGGTGATCGTGCTTAGGAAGTTGCAGCTTTTGAAAGATTCTCTCAGCTTTCCAGCCCAAATCGCCATAATTAACTCCACAGACCCCCTTTGTTTAAACCCTAAACCCAACACAAGGTCACGGTCACAGTCCCAACTTTGCATGGTCCGCCCGGCCACCTCATCCTCCTCTGCCTCGGCGTTCCCTGTGCAAGGCGGCCAAAGGTCAGACAATCGTGGCATCATAGAGGGTGTCTGTGGGCCTGCTGTTTTCCGAACTTTCAATGCGCCCCACCTGCTACAACAGCCTCGTGCAACAAATGTTGCTACATAGACCGCTTATCAAAACAAGCCAGGGCCTAACCGACGAGGGCTGCATTGCTGAACAGCCGCCTTTGCGCAACACCTAGGACGCAGGAGAGTTTCAAATGAAAGCCTGTTTATTCAGCCTTCTTCAGCCAAGTAGCACAGACCGTTTTCCTTGGGCACAGGGAGCGAGTATCATCAAGCTGTTGTGTGCTGCACCAATCCGCGCACGGACTAAAGAATGCCCTGAGAACTGCCAAGGCTCTAATCGGTGCCGGCGTCTTGGAAGGAGACCTTTGAGATCAGCTCTGCTATTAGATGGATTTCCCCGCTTCTGACAACCAAAGACCTGTTGCGAATCGGGTTTTGAAACAGCCTGGTAAAACAACCTATTGCTCGCTTGGTCTGCTAGACTAGCTAGCCTGTAAAACAACTTTGACTCTGACACACTACTCACTACTGGCCATCTCATTGTGAAAGTGCACAGCTGACAGTTTGAAAGCACATTCATGGGCCATCTTCTGCAAGCCCCACTCCGGCTTTGGACTTTGGTCTGGGGCAAGGGCGGTGTTCTGGTAGGACATCGCGGGGTCAAAGAGCCCTTTGTTGCTGCAGCTACCTCGGCACGCAAGAGACCGGGCCTGAAAAGAAAGTGCCATGTTCTTGGTGCGGTGTTCCAATCATGTTTCTCTTGGAACAGTGGGGGCGTTTGAGATCTACATAGCTCCACTGAACGTGTGGCCTGGCTGAGGTCCAAGGAGCGACCTGTTTCACGGAGAGGCCGACAGGTGGTCGCGGAGGATGACTTCCTGAAAGCATAGCACGAAGATTCAGCACAAGGTCTTTCAGGCCGTGCCAAGCAAGCTTATAACGGTGCATTCTGGGACCTGGCAGGTCCTTGCACAAGCAGGAAATATCTCAGTTCACAACAGACCGAGCTTCGAGGGATGGAGGGCTGGCGAGGGCGCACGACCTCCTGAGCGGACAACAAGGACTAGCAAACCCGCACAGGGTGACTCTTCTGCATAAGAAGTTTTAACACCTGCGCTCATCCTCCAAATTCATGGGATGGTCCTCTGGCATCCGCACGCCTGCCACGGCAGCTGCCAAGTCGAAGAACCTTTTTCCATGCACGCACACAGTGGAAACTGTTCAAACCCAAGAAGTCACGCAGAGCAGGCTGAGCATTGGCTGGCTTGTAGGCGCTTTTCTAACTTAGAATGCAGCATGTGGATGACACAGGGCGTTCGCTTTGCACTTCAAATTATGCTGCCTGGAGGTCGTGGGCTTCCTCTTTCCGCCCACAGCCGCGGCTCCAGAGCCCGCCGGAAAGTGCCGCATGGCCATGGCAGGGCGCACTAAACTGTAAATCCTGCAAAGACTTAGAAAACTGAAGCCACTTGCCTCTGAAACTCATACAGTTTGGGCCAAGTGTCTGGGATCTCAGCTTCGTTCGAAGCGTAGTTCACAATTACCGTTGCTGTGGTTGGCTGCCTTTGCCGCGCACTGCGCCCGAACCACTAAGCAACTCAGTCCTTCCAGCTGAGTGAAACGGCTGAAGATGGCATCACAGACCGGATGGCTGACCAAAGGTCATAGAGTTGGAGGCAGACATTACTTTAAGAAATTAGGTTAGGAATGGTGGGAACTCAGAAGGATCTGCATCCCCAAATGAGCTAAAGTGTAAACTCCTTGACGGGGAGTATATACGGGACTATGATAGGGGCTGTATACGGGGGATACTAGGAGTTTAGACTATATAGTCCCCCTTAAGTAGATAGAATATGGGGATATATGGGGATCTTATTATAATATACCCAAACCCATATTCTATCTACTAAACGGGGACTGTAGCTCAACTGGGCAGTGGCAAGCCCAAGCAAAGTACCCTGAACCCTTTGGGGCCGCCGGCCTCGGCTCAAACTCTGCACTGTAGGAGTTCCTCAGAATCCAAGAAATCTCTCTCTTTGGTAAGTTTTAGAAATTACTCCGACTTATAAAGTCTAAAAAGCTGCCCCGCCCTACCCTATTTACATACATATATATATATATATGTATATACCTATATACTATATACAATATACACATGAATGTAATGGTGCTAGGTATTCATTCTTAGGATCATGACGACAAAGCAAGACCATGCACTGCTTTTAGCCCCTGGCTGGCCGCGAACCTGGCCCAAGGAGGTTCACACTACTGGAATGGAAAAGAAAATGGAAACTACTATCATGGTTTTACATACGGACTACTATAAGGATCCATGCCTTCATTCCTAGCTAATAACCAAAGGCCAGACTATGGCTCTTCGGCCAAAGGCCAGACTATGGGTCTTCGGCCTAAGGCTACGAAGGGTTTCCTTATCATGGCAACCCTTTTTGCAACCCTCAACCGTAAATCCTAAGCCCTCAAGCCTATGTACACTTAGCATAGCTTAGGGCTCTCAAATTTCCTTAAGCTCGAAATTTCCAAAACTTCAAGCTTAAAATGACCCCCCAACCCCTAAGTAATGGTAGTAAACCCTAAATCCTACACCCTCAACCCTTACTCCTACACCCTAAACCCTAAATCCTACACCCTAAATACTAAGCCCTAAGCCCCAAACCCTAAACCTTCATCCTCAACAGCAATCCAATTAATACTTGGAAAGAGAATCCCAATATAAACCCTAAACCCGAAACCCAACATGTACCCAAATTACATACCACACGATCCCAAGATATACCCTAAACCCTAAACCCAATATATACCTTCAGTACATACTATACAATCCCAAGATCTACCCTATATACTATATAATCCCTATATACTCTGGGCAAGTTTTCACTTGGCGCCTTGGCCTGACCAAGACCAAGCCTGCCGTGTCCACCGTGGCCCCAGGTGTAGACCTTAGCGGGTTTAGGGTTTTCCAGGTTCAGGGCTTAGGATTTAGGGTTTAGGATTCAGGGTTGAGGGTTTCGGGTTTAGGATTTAGGGTTTGGGCTTCAGTTCAGAAATTAGGGTTTAGGGTTCAGAGTTTGGGGTTTAGGGTGTACAGTAAGGTCTCTCCAAGAGGGTTTTTCGGGTGCTTCCGAATAATCATTACATATTATGACTTGGAGACTATGGTTCTCTGGTGTTATAGATATAGCTGTTATACGCGAATGTTGGGATCATAATGTTCGGTACTTATCCCCATAAACCACCACATATGCCCAGTCTTCACCTAATTTGTCCATATCATTTTTTCCATTTGATTCTCCGTTGTCGGTGGTAAAAACCGGAAACTATATACAGGAACTGCATCTTTTCTTCCACTTGGCAGTTTCCGAATGTAGGGGCCCATGTTGGCCCCAAAAATTCTATCAGGCTTGTTTGATGGGACTCCCAATAGAGTCATCTTGGTTACCTGCACTGCCCGTGGTCGTCAGCGCCACGGAGTGCTTGGTTCCGGCAGCGACCTGACGGACGTGCAGCTGGCACCCTACTGCAACCTTAAAACGTAGCAGTAATAATGATTGCAATATGCAACTTGAGAGCAGCGCGCACGAAA